TTTCAAAATTCTTGAGTAAGTAATCTAAAAAGCTTCTCTTTTTTGAAAATGTTGTTTACTAATTAAAGTACATAAAGAAGCAGTCACGAAATGTAAATTCCATTGTTGGTAATTAGGTATGTACAGAACACGATAAGAAAGGTATAGCTCTCTCAAATAATACAATGAATCTCGAAATCATTTTTAGTCACGAACACTCATTCAAGCCGAAACACGTTGGATGAACCTTGCAAATTGTCCCAAAGTAGATGGAATGTAAATTTTGTTTTCGGAACTTAGTGATGTACAGAACACGATAAGAAAGATATAACTCTTTCATATAACACAATAAATCACGAAATTAATTTTAGTTATGTGCTTTCTTTCAAACCAAGACACGTTGGATGAAGCTTGCAAATTATCCAGAAGTAGATGAAATTTGAAAACTTTAAAAAAGTGGGATCTTCAATCGCCAATCAATTTTAATGTAATAAGACTATTATTTGAAAAAAACGATTTGCTTGGAACGTGTAGATAAATAGGGAGGGGGGCTGTACCCAATTATCTGTGATGGATTTCAGAATTTGTACTTAACCCAATTTCTGGTATTTATTCTAATCAAAATATAGACGTGTTTATAGATATTACTCAAAATGAATGCTTAAATCTTTTGCACAAAAGACGTACTACAACTGTCTGGACATTCAAATCTGTAGTACCCAAATGACTTCAAACTCTTATATAAGTAGCTCAAATTTCCTCTTTTTTCAAAAAATTATTTTACCATTTTTTTTTTTNTTTCTTATATAACTAGCTCAAATTTCCTCTTTTTTTTTAAAAAAATTTATTTTATCTCTTTTGGTTCTAATTATACTCATCAACTTTTTTAACAGTTAGCTTTCAATACATCATGCTTTCAGATTTAGATATAAACAGTGATTACGATTTTGAGTCAGATTATGAGTCAGATATTTGTGACCGTGAGGATGAACCAGCAATTACAACATCAAATCCAGTTCTTCAAAGTACTCATCAACCAACTATTTCAGCAAATTCAATTATACATTCGAATCTTCAAACAAGAAATCAATCATTCATTTCAACACCAATTAATGATTCAAACTTCTCAGAAACCAATTCAAATAATTCAGATGCACCTGTCTGTGAATCTACCATTTTAGATCAACCCAATGGTCCCAACAATTCAACCATAATTATTCGAAACCCAAATCAACTGGAAAATACTGGAGATAAAAACGTATTATCTTCTGAAACAGATAGCGATGTTTTTGGCAGTGACTCTGAAATACCAAATTCGATTATGAACAGAGTTCTGACTTCCCGTGAGACAGATTTAAATACACATCAAGGTCATGAAAACGGATTATCTTCTGATTCAGATAGCGATGTTTTTGGCAGTGACTCAGAAATACCAGATTCAGTTATGAACAGAGCTGTGAATTCTCGTGAAGAGAAGAATTTAGATACACATCAAGGTCATGATGATGGAGATGCACAAGAAGAATGTGAAGTTGCAGAAGTTGCAGAAGTTACAGAAGTTGCACAAAATGAAGATGAATCACAAGTTGTGTTTTTACCAAATGGTGTAATTTATGTTGATGGTTTTGTGGTGCACAAAAATAAAGTTGTTAATCCATATCTGATCAGTTTTCAAAGGGATTTGAGACCAGCTTTTCGTGAAATCACAAATAGACACTTAACATTGGTCAAAATTGATGATTATGCAGAATCAAGAGTGATAAGAGTGCAAAACGAAACACTATTCCATTATATTCAACCTCAAACGTATTATGGTAAATATGTTAAAGAAAAATTTTGTTTTCTGCAAATTAGTTCAAAAAATGCTGTGCAGATGATCGGTGTTAAGGTATTTATTACAAGTTCATTATTTGCTTTGATTGTTATAGGTCGACCAGAGTTACAAATGTTCAGGTACAGGAATAAAGAAGCAGATCCAAACTTGGTACGAGATAACAGTACTTTGAATGACTATTTTGGTGGCTTGTCTATATCGGAAAATGACAGAAATTTGATTGAAACACCATATGATAGAAATATTGTGGATATTGGTAAGAATGTTTACAGAATTTTCTATGAAAAAGCAATTGGTTCATCAGAGTTCAGTGGTATTACATCAAGAAGGAGATTCAACGATCATGAAGCTGTAGTAAATTTTATCAGAGAGCACAAACCAGAAACTGTGAACAACTTCTGTCATGTATTTGGAAAACTTTTAGCAAGAATATGCCTTGCAAAGGAGTTTGAAATGGTCAACAAAACTACACATGCAAAGGAGTTGAGCTTAATTGAAAATCTTGGGAAGAAGTCTAGCGCTGTTCAAGTTTCAGTAATCGGAGAATTGATTAGAAATTTTGGATGTGTGCGGTACGGATGGATGTGTGCGGTACGGATGGATGGATGTGTGCGGTACGGATGTGTGCGGTACGGATGTGTGCGGTACGGTACGGATGTGTGCGGTACGGATGTGTGCGGTACGGATGTGTGCGGTACGGATGTGTGCGGTACG